ATAATAAATTTAATTTATAAAATATATTATTTTATTTTTTATTAAATATTTAAATTTCAACACTTCGGTTTTTATTCCTTCACATTCAAAATTAATTGAAACGAGCATAAATATATATATATATATATATGTGTAACACAATATATAGAATTATTTTTAATAAATATATATGAATAAAACTCAATCATTAAAAATAGAGGGATAAATGGTTGAGATTTTATATAATATATATATATATATATTTAGGGAATGTTATTTATTCACTTTATCTTCTAATTAAAGATTAAGAGAAAACTATTCTAAAATTACATGTTTTAAATAAACTCTCATTAAAAAAAACTAAAATGTTTTATTTATAAACCATGAAATAGAGTGCTTTTTTTTTAATCATTTTTTATAATATTTTATTGAAACAATATAATTTTTAAATAATTTTTTTTCTTAATTTTTAAAAAATAAATGGATAAACGTTAATATCATATATTTATATATTACAGTGAATTAACGAAAATAACTATAACTCCAGCAAAGAGAGATGGAGCCGTGGCTGTAGAATAACTCTGATTTTGGTAAATTATTCATTGACGGTGTCAGCTCCGGCGGTAATATCACACATATAATATAGCTCTGTGATCACGGGTTAAAGATTTGAGATGCGAAAATAAAATCTTTGGAGCTCTTCTAGGCTACGCTTTCTTTTGAAGATCAAAGCTCACCACAGATTGTGGTGAGAAATGCTGCGCAAAACTCTCTGTGGCGTCTGAAGGCATCGCCAATTGGGTGATCAGTCCGTTCGACCCCGAGAAGCTAAGCCTGCCAGCGCTGGCCGGATGCTCCAGATTGGCCTATGTTGCAGAGAGGAAACCGCTCGGGACAAAGAGGTTCTGTACTGCAATGCGGTGAAGGATATATAGCGGGTGGGGTAGAGAGGTGGAAGAAGTTTACTGAAGAGCGCGTATGATCATCATCCTTTTCATATTCTCAAATCCAGAGTTCGAGTATTCCAATACTCTGGTGAAAATTTTGGTTTTATTTTTATTTTTTATAGTTGGTTTTGTTTTTTTTTTTTTATTTTTTTTCTTTTTGAAATGGGGAAATTGGAGAAGGAACATGGTATCTATATTTTAAGATGCACCCTACTATTGCCGTCATTGCTACGCGTGCCGGTTTTGTATTTTCAGCATCATTAATTGTATGTGTTTTTTAATTTCAAGTTAGAGAAGGAAACGGTTTCTTAACCTCTGTCTTTTAAGGGGGTAATAAATATAATTTCAGTAAAAAGATATAGTTTAATTATAAAATAATACATTATATTATAAATTTTAATATCACGTAATATATTCATATATATATATATATTTTTTGTATTGAACTCTTGAAGTACTCAAAAGTCATAACAAATTCTAATTAATATGGAGTTGAGTAAGCTAGAGTGCTAGATTTAATAAAAAAAAAACTCTTCTAGTAACTGTATTTTCTTTACAATATTTGAATTTAAAATTTTATTTAAAAGAAACAAAATTCTTTTCATTCAAATAATTCAGATTAATATGTTATTAGTATATCAGATTATATTATAATTATATATTTTTTTAATAATTAATTTGTATTAAAAATAAAAATTGATATTTAATTTATCAAGTGTTTAATTAAAATAATTTATATGATAATATTTCTCACTACAAATTAAAAGCTAAAATATGTATTTTTTAGATTAAAAAATCGAATATAAATAAGGCTTAAAAGACTTAGAAGATCAAATGTGCCGAGACATGCAAAAAGTGTGAGCATAAAAAAAAAATAGCAACAGTAATTGAACAAAACCCAACAATTAATTTATTAGATCTAAAAAAACACAAATTTGAGACATTTATTTCATTTAATCCATCCCAACAACAAAAAAAATGATGTCTCAAACTCCCAATTCTAAGACGGGTTCTAGCTGTTGGCCCCCCAAAAAATGAAATTCTAAGACGGATTCCATGGATATTGTTGCGCTGTAGCTATCAAATAAGGTCCATAGGAATATATGTCCCAAACACAATTCGCGCATTGATTATAATCTCTTTTATCTATGTAAATATCAAACCAATGAAAATTACCTGGCCATGCAAAACTGCAAAAAAATTGTGTTGTTCCCCAAACGTTAGGAACAAAATTGAAGTTAAAATAATCTTTAAAATTAAGCTTTTGCTCTCCAAGATCATTATTCTTCGATTTGCAATGAACAGTAAGCTGCTGACCTTCCAAGTGGCTGATGATATACACATACTTTCGCTCAGGCTTAGTGAAATGAAAAGCACTGGAAATAGTGAAGAGGAAAGCAAACATAATTAGGAGGAGGAAGAAATTTCGAGGAAGAGAATTCATCTTTGTTGTGGTAGGAAAAACCATGTTGCTCCTCCTAGTTTATAGGGGTAGTGCTGGTTTTACAAAGCTAATTAGGACTTTTAATAGGGGATTTTCTAACGTTTTTAGCTAAAATGCATTTAATAATTAAGGTTTCTAAATTAATGGTTTTTTTTTTCTAAACAAATAGAGATTTTAAATTAATAATTTCTCATTATTTTTTTTTATATATTAGATGATGGATTATATAATAAGAAATATCTTTCTCTTTTTCAAATCTCTCCCTACCTATCTCAAGATTCAAACTTGAAATCTTTAACATGAAGATTCAAGTTTCTAACCACTAAATCATCTCTTATGAGATTTCTCACTATTTTTTATTATATCAAACTAATTTACTCTAATATCTTATTTGGTTTGGAGGTGATGAGAAAGTGATAAATTTTCTAATTTAGATAACAAAAATTAGAGTGAAGGGAAGGAAGGCATTTTTCTTTAATTTTAACATAATCCGATGAGGGGAGAGGAAGAGAGAAAAATACAAGGATATTGTCTCCCTTATCCTCAATTTCTCACAAACTAGGCTAGGAATTAATAACAATTTAAGGTTAAACTGTTACGGGAATGTTTATGCCACTTAAATTTTTAAATTTTGTCTTTTAAAATATTACTTATATTTAGTTTGACTGTTAAAAATAATTAATAACTATAATTATTAGTAAATAAATAATAAAATAATTAATATTTATTATAAACAAATTAAAATCAATATATGCATTGATATTTTAAATATCATAATTGACAATTATTCAAAAAAATTAGTGACCCCAACAATTTATTAAATTAAATGGCCATGACCATTCCTCACTGTTACATATTTTTAAAGGAAAATGGTTCAAGTACAATATTTTTTTATCATTTTATATATCATTTAAATTATTAATTTTTTATTTATTTAAAACCTAAGATATTGAGTGTATCTATTCATTTATCAATAATATATAAAATTTATATAAAAAATATATAAAAATTTATCTCTATATTACTACTGTCAAATTTTAAATTCTCTATCCCTGTTGATTCCCTTTCCTTTGTTAATTACTTAATTAAAGCACAAAAAATGATACGAGAATAACCATTATTTTATACAACCTAATGTAAACAATTGATGTGTCTTCCACATCAAATTATTATTATTTAAAAGAAAAATGGAAATGCCGCTTCTCTCAATCCTTGCTTCTCTTGCTTTCTTGCCAAAAAATACTCATCTGCCGGCATGGGAATTCAATCTTTCCTTCCCCTCATATCTCCTTATTTCATCACTTCTTCTTCTATGTTACACTGATTTTTCCAGTTAGCTTCAGATCAAGTCAAATGGATGAAGGTGAAAACAATAATTTTATCGTCGGCATAAATTATATTTCTGGTATTTGTCACTCACTCTCTCTTTGTTTTCGTGTTAATGGGTCAAGCTTTATAGCTTCCAAATTTTGGGCCCAACCTTCAATATATTGAAGGTTGAGCCCAAGATTCTTACTACTTTCGCTTTTTATTTGTTAATTTTATTGAGATTTTTTTCGAACTTGGGTAGACAACAAGGGATTTTTTTTTTTTTTTTTGCTATATCACGAGGTTTAATTCGTATGTATTTGTGTTATATTGATTTTATATTTAAATTTCTGTGTAATTTTTAACTTGAATTACGAGATTTAGGTTAAACTAATAAAAAGATCATGAGAAGACATTAATTCCCTAGAGCATGTGAACATGAGGGAAAAAGGTTAATGCAAAGCAATTGTGACAGACACGAGACACGACTCAATTGTGAATTAGTCATTAAACTATCGGACACCAAGAGGTAGTGAAAAAAAAAAAAAAAATCTTGCCATTTGTTATTAACATACCCTTAATAAAAACTCTTTCTTGTATTTAAGTACATGAAGTTCAAATAAGTTGTGACATATCTTATTGCAATTTGCACCAATCACCATTCCCCAACTGCTTTGTTCGTATTAACGTTAATCACCATTTACCAACTCCTCTATACCGAGAACATCAACAAATCATTTCTACATTTCCGAGAAGTGAAATGCAGTTATGTGTTATTTGAACTATACGATAGCATTATTGTTAGTATACTCTTAACAATAATGACGAACTCCTTATCACTTAAGTCATAGTATATTAACATTAATTAACAATCTCCTTAATCACAAGAATGACTCTTGTCCTTTTCTACATTTTGGTTGAATCTGTACAGTGCTTCGGACGCAAGAGAACAGCGGTGGCCGTGACCTACTGCAATTGCTGCCAAGGACCGATCAAGATCAATGGGTGCCCCATCGAGCTTGTGGAGCCAGAGATCCTGCGATTCAAACGATGGAACCAATCCTCCTCCAGGGACGTCAGCGTTTCAGAGAAGTGGACATGAGAATTCGCGTCAAAAGGCGGACGACACACCTCGCAGATCTATGCAATCATGTTGGGCAATTTGTGAGCACGATAATCCCATACATATACATATATATGGAAGTAATAAAAATTTTGAAACAATAATTTAATTTATATATCTCACAATAATTTTATATTTGCAATAAAAAGAAAAATAAATCCATTAATAAATAAAAAGGTAAAATACTTTAAAATTTCTTTTATTCAAGAAGAGTTTTCAACACTTTAGTTTCAATTTGTAAAAATTGTTAAATTCTCTCTAATACTCATTTTTAAGCTTTATAAGGATTATCTCATACTTTTCCCTTTTCTTTCTCTCCTAAAGAGTACTCACTCACTAAACTCTTCTCAATTTCTCCTGCTTATCTCTACTGCCTTGTACATGCTCTATTTATAGAGCCCGTCAACTCACATGCATATGTGAACAAGCTAAACAAGACTGCATTAGGGTGGTGCCTGTGTCTAGCAATAGGTTGGAGGAATACTTCTTGCGGTCAAAACTTTTGTCAACACAGTAATAAATGCCATAATTAAATTTCAACAATTTACAACATGGGAATAATTAATGCCATGGATGATGGAAGTTAAGCTTCCCGATATTCAACATTTTACACTACCTTTCAATGGAACTGGATCCATGTACACAACCAGGCTCTCGTTGCCTTCTACCAAAAGGACGTAAATGGGCAGCAAATGGTGATAAAAGTACCTTTCAAGCAAAGTAAAGTGCTTAATATCCACAACCAATTCCTATGGCATAACTCTCCCTGACTTATGGTTGTACTTATGGTGTCTTTAGAATTGGTTGTGGATATATACAGCATTTTTAGAATGTAAAGTACTTAAACAACATCTTGTTTTCTTTGATCCTTACCTTCTTACCATCTGAATTTAAGACTCTATTTTCTTAAGATTTTACAGTTAACAAGTTGGGAAGATTCTGTTGAGGCTCACCCATGATAAATGGGTTCCAGTAAGGGAAGGATTATCAAAATAAATTAAAGAAAATTTTAGAAGGATTGAAGTATCTTTCAAGCAAAGTAAACCAAACCAAACCAAGAGATAATAAAATGCCTAATAGAGAAAAGTACAATGTCCAATTTATCCACAAATTCCATCAACATTTTGACTCGTTTGGTTGGAGGCACTAACAGCTATTTTTCATCCATCTCTCATATATTTTTTTTAAATGACAAATTTTATAATATATTCGCATCAGAAATGCTCTCCGGCTTTGATTGATCGGAGTGTCATTTTTTAAATTATTTTTTTTTTTCAAAAAATGAAGAGATTTAATGAGAAGAGGTGTACCGAGTACGTATAGTATTTAATATTTTTATTCTTAACTTATCTAATTTTATTTTGTAATCTAATTATTAATATTTTTATTTTATTCTTAGCAAACAAAGCCTATAACTCCCAAGTAAAAAACAAAAAAATGAAATATGAATAAATAATTAGATAAAAATAACATTATTAGAGCTTTAAAATTATAATAAAAACAAAAATTCGAATGCTAATAAGACAATAATTTATACCATCAAACAATTAATCACTAAGAAGAAAAGAATTATTAGGAATTTTAGGAAACAAAATAAAATTTAGTGAAAATAATAAGCAATAAAAATTAATAATTTACCTTTAAAAATAGAGTGACTTGATAATAAATCTAATAAATTATAAGAAAAAAATTGTTTGAAACTTTTAGGAGCGAATAAATTAGAGTGAAAATAATAAAAAATATAAGCCTGCCTGAAAATCAAGAGAATAAAAATTATATATCATAGCAAACATGATTGATTTATTAATAGATTCCAT